CTGATGCTAAATGTCCAAGGTAAGAGAGTAACTGAGATAAAGAGTTAGTTTAGATTGGTTGAGGTGAGCAAGTAGCAGTCCTCTGCACCACATGATAAACATGTTTACATTTATGGTCAAGCAGTTAAACAAAAGCACAAATGCTAAAAGCAATGTCAGAAGCATAAAATCAAACAAACAAAAAGAGCCTTAATTATTGGGAGTAAAAATGTTTAAACTGACAAAATAAACAAAATTGACAACAGAAACACACACTAATTCCTTAAACATTAACAAGAGACAAGGGGTTCACAGAAATGAAATGCCACCCACATCACTACAGCATCACACAGAGAGAAGGATCACAAACAACAACGATAACGCTTTTCTAAAAGACTACAGTAAGCAGTAACTTGGATAAGCTTCACACAGTGGTGGTCTTTGGTACTTTCAGCAAAATTACAGTAAGACAGGACGGAGCTTTATCACTCTGACATCAGACTGCAGGATGGCAGACATGTTACTCAGCTTTTGAGCTGGTAATGTAAGAAAGTTAGAAAGAAAACTAAATAAAGATTAGATTAAATAAGCTATATAGAATGTTAAAAAAAACAGATCAAATATAATCCCCGACCACTTTTTTAGACCTATCTGCTCCTTAAATGCATCTCATCTCAGCACCTCACTGCATTTAGGCATGTAAACATGGTCAAGAGGATCTGCTGCAGGTCAAAGTGAGCATCAGTATGGGGAAGAAAGGGGATTTAAGTGACTTTGAACGTGGCATGGTTGTTGCTGGCAGACGGGCTGCTCTGAGTATTTCAGAAACTGCTGATCTACTGGGATTTTCACGCACAACCATCTCTAGGGTTTACAGAGAATGCTTCAACAAAGAGGAAATATCCAGTGAGCGGCAGTTCTGTGGGTGCAAATGCCTTGTTGATGAGGCCAGAGGTCAGAGGAGAATGGCCAGACTGGTTCCAGCTGATAGAAAGGCAACAAAAACTCAAATAAGCACTCGTTACAACCGAGATCTGCAGAAGAGCATCTCTGAACACACAACACGTCCAACCTTGAGGCGGATGGGCTACAGCAGCAGAAGAGCACACCGGGTGCCGCTCCTGTCAGCTAAGAACAGGAAACTGAGGCTACATTTCACACAGCCTCACCAAAACTTTAAAGAACCAAACTATTTTAAAGAACCAAAGCGAGGCTGTGGTGGGAAGAACAACAGAAGTGTAGGACCAGCACTGTTAACATTGCAGTAACATGCTGTGGAATACAAACCTCCAGCTATTGCCGAGATTTTAAAATGTAGAAATGGTTTAAACATCACTTTAATATAATTCAGTATGTTTAATTTAAATAATTAAAAGCAAGTTAGGCATCAAACAACATTACAATCTCTGTAAGAGAAATGTGCTCAAGTCTCCTCCTAGGCTTCAGTTCATGGCAGCAGTTAAACACTGTGAGGACGCTTTCCTACTTCAGTCTATGTAACCCGTTGAGTGATAAAACACTGCAGTCCTCTGCAGCACAGCCTTGTGTTGTCTGTAATAGTGTTGTTCCGGTACTGAAGTTTTAAAAGCGGCTAACATTGAAGTTGTTGACGTTGAAGTTAACATTGAAGTTAACGCTGAGTGTGGATGACTCAACGGATCTTCATGGCTGCTTCACGCTCCAATATCTGTGTATCTGTGTTTGTACTCAGTTTACCGCTCTTCACCCACTGCAAACACAGATACACAGAGACTGGAACACGAAGCAGCCGTGAAGATTAGTCGAGTCATCAAGATCGCTCGGCTCGTCTGTGTTTGTGCTCAGTAAACAGCGGTGGGTGAACTGATGATCTTCTTGGCCAATCACAGTCATTTCTGTTGAGCACGTGAACACAATGGCAGATCAGCGCTGTTTAAGAAAGCCATAAACAGTGCCTTAAATGTTAGCGGGAAATGGAGGGTTTTTCTTTTAATTCAGTATCGTCACAAGTCTATAATAGTGAAAGAATCAGTTCATTAACTTGTGTAGCTTCCCACAGTAATTTCACGAGCACTAGGGGTCATTCTCTGATGACTGGCGATTTATTGACTGGCTCACCATGAATATGACCAACCAACTCGAAATGCGGTGAAAACTGAATATACACAGAGTAAAACAGAATACAAAGAACATAAGTACATAAAGATATACATTATCTTCGTAAATCCTTGAAACAGAGGAAACTTTAACAACTTGAGTTTTGTACATGCACTGTTACAAACATGTTTTCTGCTATATAACAACAAAATTCACAAACAACACATATAGGATAAGTGTACTTACTTCATTGGCTGCTTATTACAAATAGAGAAACTTCTTATAGTGTCTTGTCATGCTTCTTGAATCCAGATGAATAAAACTGAAGCAGGGAAACAAATTCTTCTTCACTTGCCATGAGGTGCCTTTTTTCCCTAGTTACTCTTCTTCTTCTTAATATTATGAGTTTTATTGGCGGTTGGCATACAACTTTTAGGTGCATTACCACCACCTGCTGGTTAGGAGTGTGGGCCATGATTGCACTTTCTATGCATCTTTAGTAAAGTAAAAAAAATTAAATAATTCCTACACCACTTATATCTACATTCTTTTATCTAATTTAGACATTTGAAAAAAAAAAGTATTAAAAATTCTATACAGTCCTCATTTGACTTGTTTTTCAGCATTTTAACCAAATTAAAATTTGCATTGATTCTTTTCAAATTTAAAATAAACACTTTCTTCCTGGTTACTCTGTATGGTTTTCATAAAAAAAAAAGTTTCAACCCCAAACAACTCTGTACTTTGTCATTTTAAATTAAAAGTCTATGAAATAATTAAATAAGAAACACAAACTGATTCTCAGTCAGTTACCACTTGAGTTTGATAAATGGCATCTAAAACGCGTGTTTGGGAAAGAAAATGCTAGCTAGCACGCTCAGATCTCTCACGATTCCATCCAGCGAGAACGCGCACAGTCCGAGCGTGCTCACAAATGGTGCTCTTACAGAGACTTACACACAATGACAAAAGCAGTGCTTGACCTGAGAAAACTCGAGCACAACACAAGACATGGCAGGACTAGTGTCTGGACTCTAAACAAGAACCACTAAAACAAGAATTAACAAGACCAGAGTGGCAGAATCCTGACAAAGTGCTGTATAAATGTAATGGATTATTAATAGCGTTATCAGTAATAAAATAGATGTCCTTTAGTAAATAGTGTTAATCTTTGTCTCTATTGCAGGTCAGATGAGCAGCAGTGCTCAAACTGAAGTCAGTACTGATGTGAGTGCTGAAGCAGACGCAGTTGCAAATACTCCTTTACTCACTGGAAACACCAACGCAGATCCTGTGACCATGAACAGCTCAAACCCTACAGGAACTGGTACATCACTGCACTCTGCTCACCCAGACACACTGCTCATTAACTGTGATTGACCTTATGAATACAACTCTCATTAAAGTTCATGTTAGAATTGTATTTCTGTAAATCGAGCTTTACACTTAAAGCTCTGTAAATACAGCCAAACACTTAAAATTCACTAAGCCGACTCATGCTCATGTTAACTCATGCCAGCCACTTCTACTCCTGTCTGGAGCACAATGCTGCGCTCACCAAACAGGCGACTGTTCTGTGTCAGAGAACATGGATTTCCACACAGACAGGTGGCAGTATCTGTTTTCTCATCAAATAAAGGAAAACCAGAACTTTGTAAACAAAGCAGCTTTCGGTACCATTGTCAGTGTAATTGTCACTCACCATAGAGGGACTTGCTCCCACAAATAAGTTTGATAATCTACTAATCCACATAGTTTGGAAATATTTGAGAAATGTGGTAAATTCCTGGCTCTAAAATGTGCTCGCTCTTAACTTGAATCGTTTACTTAGTTACATCACTTTAGTTTTTGTCCAAGACTATCAGAGCTCTCTCTTCAGCTGATAATAACTCAATACACTGAATGGAACCACTCGATCTGAAGTTCACCTGTTAAAAGGTGACGTGTGTAACACACCAAACACACTAACCAGGCAGACACCAACCAAGGGTCCTATGCTGTCCAATGACCTGGCCTTAAAGCACTTTGAGCACTGAGAAAAGTGCTGTACAAATGTAATGGGTTATTAATAGTATTATCAGTAATAATATAGCTGTCTTTTAGTAAACAGTATTAATCTTTGTCTCTATTGCAGATCAGGCGAGCAGCAGTGATCATACTGCAGTCCGTCTTGATGTCCAAGCTGAAGGAGAAGCAAATGTAAATACTCCTGTACTCACTAGAAACACCTTCATGGGCCCAGTGTACTTCAACAGCAGCTCAAACACGACAGGAACCGGTACATCACTGCACTCTGCTCACTCAGACACACTGCTCATTAACTGATTGACATTATACTGTTCTTAATTAAGTTCATATAAGAATTGGATTTCTGTAAAGTAATAATTTTTCAGTCGCTCATGCTCAGTCATCAGGAGTCTGCATGGCTGTTGAAATAATTGAGCATTAGCTGAATAATAATCCAACCGCATGATCTCTATCACGCCTTTTATGCTGTACAAAGAGAGAAGACCTCCATCCCAGGAGCACACAAAGATAAGACCATAAACACAATCATTTACTACTCATTTGCACAGAAGAGTTGAACAAATATGGAATATAGAGTTGAACAAACAAAATCGACAGCAAAAAAGCTTAGAATAAAGTTGGAATAGAAGCATTACTGAAACAAGAACACATTGTAAAGCTGGCTCACACTGTGTAATGATACATGGACATCATTCTCATGTCAGACTGTAGGATCTCGGTTATCATTATGACAAACTGTACAACAATAAAGAATCCTTAAACATGAACACACAAGAAAGCTCATCTGGAGTTGGATGATATCCATCCATGACTGTGACGGGGTACTATACCTCTGTCAACGGAGTAAATTTACAGTTCTAATGGCGGACAAATATGGACATTGATTCCGGTCAGAGAATCAGGCAACGAAGAAGTAATCCTCTTCAAACTTCTTTAATAACAATTATTAAGCAGTCAGTGCCATCAAACTTTCCAAGTATGTTGTGGTCTGTAGAACAGATGAGGAATACAGTAGAAATATAAGGTATCTTTACACATTCACTTCAATGAGAAATCACACCATATATACAATGATTAAACAGTGATAATAAAGGAACAAATATATACGTTATAACAAACAAACTAATCAGTTAAATGGCAGTAAAAGGCAATAGGCGGAATGACGGAGCATATATTGCACACTGTATTCTCTCGCGGCTAGCGCGAGCGATATTTTCCCGCGATCGCGGCGCGATCGTCGTCATATATAACAGTCTCTTATATGAAAAAAGTAAATGTTCACTCAGTGATTGTCACATTATTACTCACATTTGGTGCATGAACGCACAACATGTCGGAAGAAAAGGAGCGCATTGTGATCTGGCCCGGCATCTGAGTATGGGAAGTTGCACCGCTAATAACAGTCCGTGTGAAACTCGCTAAATATTTTCGGTTCCTAGTGGGCTTTCTGACAATGACACATTCACTAACATGCGTTCTGAAATTATACCACACAGCAAACATTACAAATCTACAGCGTTATTTTGTCCACAACATGCCTCAATATTAAAACCAGGAAAATAAGCTGTTATGACATGTCTGTTAGGTGGGTTGAAGTTGTCCTTGGTTCTTGTTTGGAGGCTTGAGCCCCTGTGCCTTTTCTTCCTTAAAAGAAAGACGCTTTTTTTCTGAAGATAACAAATTAATATATTTTTCTTTTTAAAATAAAATATCTCTATATTTGTGTGCATGTTTTGTTTTCAGACAGCTGTCCCTGTGAAAAAAGATAAACCAAATATTAGGTCAGGAAACACTGAGACAGCAAATGATCAGCAGAGTATGCTGTAATTCTAAAAACTGTAATAGACACACTTCAATTCTGACTGATCCTGCATTATTCTGAGTAATCAACTTTGTTAACAACAATACAATATAAGATTTAAGTCAAATCACCTACCCCTGATTATTTAAGTTACCATACCATAAGTTGTAATGCTATTTAAAGGATCAAACAAATTACTTTATATGTGCAATTGTTATTTTTTCATAATGGGAAGCACAGGACATAATCATGTTTTACTTTAATAAAATATCTGTTTCCTCTCTCTTGTAAAGGTGCAGCTGTAGAGAACTGTAAAGCTCCTCCTGTTGATTACACAAACACCAGCAATGAACTAAAGGAGAAATTAAAGCAGAACTATGAGAAGATATTGGTTGGTAATTCACAGACAGGTCATCAAAAGTACCTGGATAATATTTACACTGATCTATATGTGGTGGAGAACGAGACTGGAGGAAGAGAGAATGACCATGAGGTGATACAGATAGAGTCAAAACACAAACAACAGGATAAACCAATCAGGTGTAATGACATGTTTAAAGTTCAGCCTGACACAGGTCAACAAAACAGAAGAGTCCTGACACTGGGGATTGCAGGAGTGGGAAAAACTGTCTCTGTTAATAAATTCATCCTAGACTGGGCTGAAGAAAAAGACAATCAGGAAATAGTCTTCATATTTCCACTGCCGTTCCGTAGACTGAATCGGATTAAACAAAAAAAGTACAGTCTCATAGGTCTGCTTAACAAGTACTTCTCTATTAAACCAGGAGGACTGAGCTCTCTTCCTGAAGAACAAGGGAAGGTCATGTTCATCTTTGATGGACTGGATGAATATCGCTTTGACTTGAACTTTGAGGAGGATGATGAATGTACTGAGGTTGATCAGGAAATGACAGTGAGTGAGATAATAACACATCTCTTAAAGGGACAACTGGTACCCTTATCCCTCATCTGGATCACATCCAGAACAGCAGCAGCCAGTCTGATACCCCGAGACTACATTGATCAGGTGACTGAGGTGCGAGGATTCAATGATGAACAGAAGGAGCAGTACTTCTTCCAAAACAGCAATGCTGAGGTTGCTGGAAACATCATCAGTCACATCTGGAAATCCAGGAGTCTGTACATCATGTGCTACATCCCTGTCTTCTGCTGGATCTCTCTCACTGTTCTTCAGCCTCTGCTGGGTCAAGAGAGCAATGAAAAAACACCCACAACTCTCACAGGGATGTACATCAACTTCTTACTGTCTCAAAAGCAGCAGATGAAAAAATATAGCAGCGATTCTGAACCTGAAGCCAATGCCAGGTTTTTTGCTGACATTGTTCTGAAGCTTGGGAAACTGGCCTTTAAACAGCTGGAGGAAGGAAATCTGATTTTCTACAAAACAGATCTGCAGAAGTGTGGACTAGATGTCGAGCAAGCATCTGTGTTCTCTGGATTATGTACTAGAATGTTTCAGGAGGAAAACCCCATCTCAGGGGAACAGGTGTACAGTTTTGTTCATCTCAGCGTTCAGGAGTTCATCGCTGCTCTCTATGTGTTTTATATTTACAAAAACAAGAAAGCAAATCCATTTCTTGATTTCTGGAAAAAGCTGACATGGAAACTCTCTACGAAGACCCTGTTTAAACTTCATAAAGCTGCAGTCAAGAAGACTTTACAAAGCAAGAATGGACACCTGGACCTTTTCCTCCGCTTCCTGCTGGGTCTCTCACTGGAGTCCAATCAGAGTGACCTGAAGGAGCTTCTGCCACGACTGAAGCGCAAAACTGAGAACATCAAAGACACGACAGACTATATCAAAGAGAAAATAGAGGAGGAGAAATCAGCAGAGAGGACCATCAACCTCTTCCACTGTCTGAATGAACTGAAGGATGAGTTTGTGGAGGACCTCCAGAAGAGTCTGAGCTCTGGAAATCTCACATCACAGGATCTGTCCTCTGCTCAGTGGTCGGGTCTGGTGTTTGTGCTCCTGATGTCAGAAGAGACTCAAGAGAAGTTTGAACTGCAGAAGTACAGAAGATCTGATGAAGCACTGATGAGACTGATGCCAGTGGTCAAAAACACCACAAGAGCACTGTAAGAGTTTTCTGGATACACTTTTGCCCATTTCACACATCGATTTGCAACACATCTGCAGCCCATGAGTCATATACATGCAGAGCAGAAACAGCACAGACTATTTGTGCTTTCACATCAAACATGTATCACTGATCTCCTGCTGTACACAATATCTGTTCTGCTTATGTTTACTCCACTTTCAGACATTCTTTTCAATACTTTGACTCTCTTTTTACACAATACAATAATATAATCTCATTTCAAAACTGATAGCTCTAATATGTTAACATGAGTTTGGAAAACGGAGAAAGTTTTTAATAATGATAACTAATAATTAATTATCACACAAAACTGTCAATTCATAGAAAAATAATAATTTGATGTTTATTTTACAGCCTTGTATTCTCCCTTAAATTCAGTATTTACAGAGTCCTTATAGTGATTTTACCTTTGCTCAAACTAAAACACAACATTCAAGTGTTTTTGTCTCTGCTCTGGATTAATAGATGAATGCAAAATCATTATTTCTCTTTTCCCCTCACAGCCTTCAGAGCTGTAATCTCACTGCTTATTCTTGTGAGAGTTTGTCTTCAGCTCTACAATCCTCAAACTGTGTGCTGAGAGAGCTGGACCTGAGTAACAATGACCTGCAGGATTCAGGAGTGAAGAAGCTCTCTGATGGACTGAAGAGTCAACACTGTAAACTGGACACACTGAGGTCTGAATTCAAACACCTGACTGACTGACTGACTGACTGATTGATTGATTGATTGATTAAAGTTATTATTTACATGAAGTGAGTGACAAAAAAATACAATCTAAATTTGATTTGTTTTCTTATTTCTCAGATTTGTTACGTGTAAACTCACTGCTGATTCCTGTGAGAGTTTGTCTTCAGCTCTACAATCCTCAAACTGTGTGCTGAGAGAGTTGGACCTGAGTAACAATGACCTGCAGGATTCAGGAGTGAAGCTTCTCTCTGATGGACTGAAGAGTCAACACTGTAAACTGGACACACTGAGGTAAATGATTCTCCACTCTACAATAACTACAAAAATATTTCATAATAGCCCACATTATTTCATATTAGAGCTCTTCATGCTTGAACATGTTAACCCTGGGTGATACTAAACCCCGGATGACAGGAATTATGGTTTATCAGTAATTGTGTTTCACACTGCTCATACTATACCTGTAGTTAACAAATAACCACCCAGAGTATTAATTATCAGATGATTTATTAACTGTACATCCTGCATAAATAAAAGAGCGGCAGAATAAATGCAGGAGCGGCAGAATAAATGCAGGAGCGGCAGAATAAATGCAGGAGCTCCAGAATAAATGCAGGAGCTCCAGAATAAATGCAGGAGCTCCAGAATAAATGCAGGAGCGGCAGAATAAATGCAGGAGCTCCAGAGTAAATGTAGGAGCGCCAGAATAAATGCAGGAGCGCCAGAATAAATGCAGGAGCGCCAGAATAAATGCAGGAGCGGCAGAATAAATGTCGGAGCGCCAGAATAAATGCAGGAGCGCCAGAATAAATGCAGGAGCGCCAGAATAAATGCAGGAGCGCCAGAATAAATGCAGGAGCGCCAGAATAAATGCAGGAGCGCCAGAATAAATGCAGGAGCGGCAGAATAAATGCAGGAGCGCCAGAATAAATGCAGGAGCGCCAGAATAAATGTAGGAGCTCCAGAATAAATGCAGGAGCTCCAGAATAAATGCAGGAGCGCCAGCGTAAATGCAGGAGCGCCAGAATAAATGTAGGAGCTCCAGAATAAATGCAGGAGCTCCAGAATAAATGCAGGAGCGCCAGAATAAATGCAGGAGCGCCAGAATAAATGCAGGAGCGCCAGAATAAATGTAGGAGCGCCAGAATAAATGCAGGAGTGCCAGAATAAATGCAGGAGAATAAATGCAGGAGCGCCAGAATAAATGCAGGAGCTCCAGAATAAATGCAGGAGCGCCAGAATAAATGCAGGAGCGCCAGAATAAATGTAGGAGCGCCAGAATAAATGTAGGAGCGCCAGAATAAATGCAGGAGAATAAATGCAGGAGCGCCAGAATAAATGCAGGAGCGCCAGAATAAATGCAGGAGCTCCAGAGTAAATGTAGAAGCGCCAGAATAAATGCAGGAGCTCCAGATTAAATGCGGGAGCGCCAGAATAAATGCAGGAGCGCCAGAATAAATGTAGGAGCACCAGAATAAATGCAGGAGCGCCAGAATAAATGTAGGAGCTCTAGAATAAATGCAGGAGATCCAGAATAAATGTAGGAGCGTCAGAATAAATGCAGGAGCGCCAGAATAAATGCAGGAGCGCCAGAATAAATGCAGGAGCTCCAGAATAAATGCAGGAGCGCCAGAATAAATGCAGGAGCGCCAGAATAAATGCAGGAGCGCCAGAATAAATGCAGGAGCGCCAGAATAAATGCAGGAGCTCCAGAATAAATGCAGGAGCGCCAGAATAAATGCAGGAGCTCCAGAATAAATGCAGGAGCGTCAGAATAAATGCAGGAGCATATTTCTCGTGCTGTCCGGGGGGAGGGCTCTGAGCTCGAGGAGACACCCCAACTCGAGATATTCCCCTTA